TCATACAGCTAAGATTTGTTATGTGAAAGGATACAGCAAAACCAGCAAAGGGAGAAGACGAAGGGAGTGAAGTTGAGAGGAAACCAGGCATGAGCGTCCCAGAGTCCCTCCCAGTGGAGTCACGCGGGACATGCTTAACCCCAAGAACAGGCTGTGACACACATGGGGAATGTCCACCAGCGTCGCACACTAGAGACTCAGCACCCAGGGCTTTTACTGAGGGCTGGTCACGTGGCACCCTCTGCCTGGCCGTGCCGACATTCCAGACTCCCAGAAGGAGAGCAGGGGTTGGCATGAGCCATACCGTTTGCACAGTTCAGGCACGCTGAGCCACGCCTACGAGTTCATGGAGCTGGGAACTCTCCCGAAATCCAAGTTCCCAGATACCAGCCAGGGGCCAACCTTATAAACAGGCCTTTGAAAGGACACAGCCTCAGGCCTGCCGTGTGAATTCTTCTCCACACATCTCATTGTACAGATCAGAGAACTGGAACTGAGGGAGGGAAGAGTCAACTTGCCCACGGTCACACAGGTAGCACTGTTGGAGCCAGCATGCGCCCGGGTGCTTTGGCTGTAGAACCGCTGGCATCCTGTACGCGATTACTTGACAGCGAGTGGCCAAGCGGGAGTGGGAGCAAGGTCGTCCATCTGCTTTCAGATGCCACGCTCTTCCCCCGCGTCTGTCTTTCCACACGGGAATAAAACCAGCTACTACGAATGCTAAGCTTGTAGGAAACCTGAGTGCAGAAAGCCGTGGTGTGTGTTGCAGTCAGAGCAGCTGCTTCCTCTGGATGCCTCGTCCTAGCACGAGGACAGCCCCGTGCCGTATTGGGAAAGGAGCCAGGGTGTCTGGGGAGGCGAGATGCCCTACGCAGAGCTGTGACAGGGCAGTCTGCCGCGCGGACGGCTGGCTCCCTTCGTCTGCCTGGAGCCGTGTAACTGAGCTGAGTTTCGTGGTTTGGTGCCAGAAGTGCTCCTCTATTCTAGGTTTGACAAAATGACAAAATAATTGCTGTCTTTCTCTGTTAACTAGGACTCTGGCTGCAGGCAGTTAGTTAAAAGGGGGATTTAAGGCTATCTCATGGAACCTCAGGGCAAGAATGCAGGACAGACTTCAGGGGAGAACCCAAAATGGCACATAAGCTCCTGTCAGAAGCCTGGGAGTGACTGTCCTCCTCCTATCTCTACATGCCTGCTTCAGTCTCTCCTGCAAACCGCTTGTCTGGCCTTGCGGTGGGGAAGTGGCCACACCCTGCAGCTCCTGAGCTTGTGTCTTGTTTGTGCTGCTCCAGTGATCAGCAAAGTCCGGGAACCACTGGCTTCTACAGTGCTGTGGCCTGAAGAGAGTGGGGACTGTGGAAGTCGAGGATTGCGGAGCGTGGGCTTGTGTTAACTTCGCAGGAAACCTCGGGAAGAGAAAGCAAAGGTTCCAGTAAGCCAGCCGTTGGTCACGGCATCCCTACAGCTCCGAAGGAAGCTCTCATCTGCTGCAGACCCTCTGACATGTTAAGGGTCTCGCTGCTGGCATGACAGGACTGGACGGCAGCCCGAATGCAGCTCAGCTGCTCCCAGTCCAGGTCAGCCCGAAGAACTGGCTCCTGCAGCCCAGACAGGGTGTTTTGTGGGTGAGCCCCAGGTTCACGGGAGCCCTTGTGCACACGGAGCCCCGCCCGTTGGAAAGCAGCCGTCCCTTGCCTGGGAGTCCTGTGGAGACCTCAGGCTATGCCCAGCCCAGGAGG